TTTGAGGTGGGAGGAAAAGAAAATGTAAGAATTGAGTAAAACATTGAAACTTTTAGTGAATTTATTAGACATTTTTGTGTAACATAATCCAAAAGTGACCACGAAAGATGTGAATGAAAGTCTAATGAGGCGTCTTTCATGAGGGGATTTTTCTGTAACAGAATAGCTTCTATTCCTGGGAACAAAACCTGCAGATTTTGCCGACCTGGGTGGAGTGGAGTGGAGTGTGGTGAAGTGTGGAGGAACTGGGGGATGGGGGACGTTTGATTTGATATGTGTGGGACTGGCTGGGGGCAAGGTGTGGCCATGTGGGAGAGACAGGGTCAGAAAGGGGAAACTGATGGAGGTTTCTGTGTGAACTTGAGTCCTCGAGGAGCGCGTCCACCTGTGTGCACCTGTTAGCATGAGAGAGCCGACCATTGCAGTTTCCCCCGACGCCTGGGGCAGAGTGAAGGTCAATTATCAAATTAGCTTCAGACGTCACAGATATGGTCGTTTATCCTGTCCCACTCTCGCTCGCCTGCCTTCTGTCAGGGAGTCCTACTGGTGCACTCACACCCTGGCTGGGGGTAAATTTTTGATGAAAGAACAGTGTCTGAGTAACAAAAGTGATTTTACGGGTGTCAGCTGCCACTGATCAATAATCTCAGCAATATCTGTAACCTACAGATGTCATTTGGATCTAAGCACAGACAAAGGACAAAGGCTGCCAGACACTGACTGCACCACATCTAAGGAGTTTGCCTGAGGCTCCTGTTGAAACATTATATGGATTTGTTTCTATAAAGATGGGATTTTAGATTAGATTAAATAACACCTGTAGAAACTATAAAATAAAATATATATGAATATGAATTGTATGGTTTGTACAGCTGTAGAGGTGGATGGACGTATAGATAGACAGAGAGACACAGTAGATATAGACAAAACTTCACTGGTCCAAAGTGCACAGAATTAACAAGTAAACGGATTTAGTTGAAAATCAATTAAATAAATAAACTATACACATTAAACTACCCATAAATGTATTGATGATGGATAAATGTATCCATCATTCTGACATACGGCATTTAAACTCCATAACTAGTTTGCATGGGTACTGGTTGTCACCCAGAGGAACCACATGCTTGGCGCCTGCTAAGGGCAGCCTGTTAACAGCATATCTGATGCTAACACAAGAATTTCCCAAATATGTGATCAATATAGTTCAAATTATTAATATTATTATTATTTTATACGTGGAAGTTGGCTTTGTTTACATTTGCCAGATGCCAGTTTGTGTTGATTTTTGGGGATTTTTTCCCCCCCTCCATTTGGCTCTCAAGTGTAATTCAGACTCTTCTGATGTTATGTTCTATGTGTCAGCCTAGTTGAGTGACAAAGGTATTCATGCACAGAACTTGTTCTAACTTATAGCAAAAATTGAGTTATGTCAAACCATAGGAACATAACTCCAATGTAAGTCCAGGATCTCTGCGTGTGTATTATGGCACAGTGGCCATATGTATTTAGGTTGTGGTCAGGGTACTGCCTTCCACAAGAAATTGGCCCAGATATTGTTAAGGTTGTGTGGATTTCTGCGAGTTACTACTGTTACTTTTAGTGGTTTTTTTTTTTGAGTTTTGTGTGAAAGTGAAGTGATCAAACCTTTTGTAAAGCATTTTCAAAAACCTCTTTGGCATTGTTTAGAGTTTCATGTTGAGGATCTTGAAGAGGATTTATCACATTAACACATTAAAATAAGTCCATGACTTGGGGGCAGGTATTGTGAAATACTTGCTGTGTCACAGTATCACATAGTGGTCACAGTCTGTGCTGCAAATATGCAAAAAACATCTTCGTACCCCTTTCTGTGTTAGGGAAGCTTTTCCTAATCCCTACAGCCTAGTGTCGTCAGCTGAGGTTCCTCGACATGGTTTTGTAGTTTTCTGGGCCCTCCTGCAGTCTTAGCTGATAATAGATCAAAGTCAGTGGACACTGAATACTTTGATCCCAGTGTGTTTGGAATAGTTGGATGAGACAACATACATTTGTCAAACAAATCTCCTGAAGACAGAAACGCCAATAACAACTGGCACAGTCTATGAAACTGAGTGCGATCAATACTGTTTATCCACCAACAGAGACGTTTAATTTATAATAGATGAGCCAGCGTAAAGTGAACTGTGGCTAAAGAGGAAGCCTTGGCAGAAAGGAAGCAGGCTGTTGTTAATTGTGACTTATATCATGTGGTTCACATGCTGCTGTCTTCTGGTCATTGCTTGGCAAGGGATATTTATTTATTGGAATTTGATCTTTTAAAAAAGAAAAAAAAAGATCGGTCTGTAGAGTCTGGGGTTTGAGTCCAGCGTAGGCCTGTCTACATGCCAATCTGTCCTTGGTCAAGATGGTTACCATATTAAATCTGGGAACATGGGTGAAATATCTCCACTTTGAGAGCAGGCAGTTTGCATCAGAATGGGCATCCAAAATAAAATAACACCAAGTATCATGTGCCTGACCTGATTTGGGGACTTTTAAAAGGAAGCGTTTAGAAAAGGGGAAGAAATGGGTTTCGGATCATGTATTATGTCCTCGTGTTTTATCCTACAGTTCACAGTTTACTGTTCATTACCATTACTTTTTTGTTAACATAAAATGTAACCATCTGTTTTTATCAACATGCAATTTTCCTAAAAATGGCAAATGGAATCACAATTCCCTGAAGCTACTTACAAATGATTTTTGGTATTGTGCCTGTGTCGTTTTCATTTAATTGTAATGTTTCTAACTATATGTTATAAGATCACTACGCCAGGGGTCACATCAGTTGCCAATTACAGGATCAAACCACAGAAACCACTTCCAGGTGGGAAGCAACCTGTCGTAGCTAATATTTCACAGTTGACTTTGACTTGGAAATACCCTTTGAAAAACCATTATGTAAAAAACTGAAACACGACTCAACTTTGTCAGGCTTTCTAATTTAGAAAACAACAGTCTCTACCCACAGCTGTTTGTTGGTTCCTCGTGCTAATGCTAAATGGCAATGCTAATGCGAATGCTAAAAATATTGTACTACACAAACCTGGCATGATTTAGTCTGAAAAGGGTTTTGGGAAGACCAAAGAAAACATTGAAATTACTTTTTTTTACTTTAGCTGCTTATTTAAGCTTATTCCTGATATTGTTATAGTTGTAATAGTTGGATTTTAGGGGTCAAAGTTCTAGTGGGAACCAACACCTAGCATCATTAACCATAGTTCCGGTTGAAGGTTGGGCTTAGAGTTCCATTAGTTAGGGTTAGGGGTTGATAGAACCAGAACCAAAAAACCTAACTGGACCACAGTGTTAGAGCATGGTACAGGGTCCAAATGTTTTGTAAGGGTAAGAATTGTGAATGAGAGGCAAGAAATTTAGATTTAAAAAAAAGTACTCCAGAAGGATGCGTGGGTGAGTTTGTGTGCGAGACAGAGATAAAGCAATCAAGTCCAGAACGTCACTGTACTAGCACCTTAAGGCAGTGTCACCTGATCTCATCGTCAAACAAAGTCCTTTTGGTTTGTTTAAACTGCTCTCAGAGGAGGGCTGAGTGTCAGAGGGGTGTGCCCAAAAAATACACAAACACATTAGGGAAAAGAAGACAGTTAAACAGTGAAGGGTAAAAATGTAAGACAACTCCCGGAAACATGACAGCAGAGTGGGTGGATTTTGCCAGGCCATGAATGACAGGACAGGTACAGTTATACCGAGTTTAACTGTCTAATTCTCCATTAATCTGCTAATCCTATTTTACAAGAAAAACTAGCTGCTTTTGGTTGAGATTTAGTTGTAAAACATGCCGTTGTGCAAAAGTACAGTTTATATTGAAACAGGAAGTTGGCAGTTTTGGGTCTTTGTCAGTGTAACAACATATGTAATTCTGTAAAGAAATATGATAATATTTGAATCTAGAAATACAGCAGCTACGTATGTGAAATATACGCAACCTTCTCTGACATGGTGTGAACAATGTAACGAAACTGAAGTGAGAGCAAACAGAGTCAGACGGGAAAGAAAAGTCAACATTGTCGCCTCTGTTACTTTCTTTAACTTGGTTCCTTTGTTTATTTAGTTCCAAACCGATGTCTGAAACCGTGAGAAAACCAGACGATTTAACCCACAGATGAAGCACTTAAAGTTTACATGTACACAAGTTTACATGTTTACATGTTTACAAGTTTACAAACTCATATTCTTTTTGTTTCTTTTTTAAACTCTTATCAGAAAAGCACAGAAGTTAGAAGTAGTTAGTTAATTTTAGGAATTAGATTTATAACGACTTTCAGACTAAATACATCTTAATTGAATTGTTTTGACTGAATAGATTTTCCCTCTGTTAATAATCCTGATATTTTCGTAATGTTTTTGCCTCAATGGTTTTGAACTTTGATGACTCCCAGCATGTTTACATTGTCTAAAAATAGAATAATCCTGCTGATTTAATTTCCCTCAGCCTTTAATTGTTAGCTAACGTTGATCAACCAATCGTAACGCTCCTGTCACAGATGAATCATCAGGATTCATTGAGATCTCAGTTTGTGTAATGACAGGAGATGGCCTGTGTGTGCACATGTGCGTGTGTTTGTGAGGCTGCATTAATCCAGTAGATACATATTGGTTTTAAATACATTGTATGTTTAATCAGTGTTGCTTTAAACATGGGCTTTATGTCACCTACTGTAGATTTGTAAGATTGTAACCCAGGATTTCCTTTTTTAAATGATAAACAGTGTTTACATCAATGAGCTTGTCCAAAAGGACATAGACTTTGTTGACAGAGGCAGCTGTCTGGTAGAATTTAACTTCTGAACAACCCTGCTTCTTAATCGAGACCTAAATCTAATTATTTTAATCCTTAAGAACCAAGTTCACGTGGTGGTAAAAAGCTCTTTTAGCTCCGACCGAGGGCTGCAGCAGATGAATATTGAATATTAAGGTGGAATTTAATTATCTTTTTATTTTGTTTTTGTGTTTTTCAGATGAAATCATGCAGCTGGACAACAGTCCACTCTATGCTGCCGACATCGCCCATGACCTCAAGAAGCAGTTTGCCTTCCTGTCAGGTGAAAAGTCCTCGTCTTTGTCTGTTTGATGACCAGTGTCCCCTCATCTTCCCTGTAATGTCATCTGTTTTCAGCAGTTGTTTTCAATTTCTGCAGCATGTGATCTCAGAAGTGGAAGTTTGAACTCATGGGCCTCACATGGTTACTGATCTGGCTTTTACCAGCAAACACAAACGTGTGTGACGTCTACCTGGAACATTTTGACAAACAAAACCAAACTCTAACTCTGCCGTGATCTGCCCACAGCTGCACATGGAGCCTGGAGGTTTTAGGGCCAGCAATTATCTCCACTCCTATTTCCTAAACAGAGGTGGAGCTAGGTTACACAGTTCTCCAGAACACCATTGTCACCGTCACTGTAACAGTCACAGCTGCCCACACCCTCACATATGACTCTTATTTTAAAAATACATTTAATACTGAATAATCAAATAAAAAACAAAGAACCTAAATTACTCCAAGAAGGGTTTAAGTTGGCATTTCTTAATACAATCAATAACAGTTTGATGATAGCCCCTACTGGTCATCAGTGGCACTGCATGTAAAACAGTGTTTGTGTGTGGGTTTTGAGGTTTTGACTTTTATTTACCATTAACCATGCAAAAATAATAAGTCACTCACATGCATCCTGGTTTTGCTGTTGAAAATATATCAACATTAATTCATCAAGTCCTTTATATATACAATTTTTTGTCCTTCAACAGAATTTCATTTGGTAAATTGAACTAAATTTCTCCCAAAACTTGAGCCTGTTTGCCTCAAAAACTGCAATATATTTGGCTATTTGACCTTCGCTTGTGTCCCACCAAGAAATGCTGGACGACTGGATACTGTTATTGGTCAACTGTCTTATCCTGATAATCATGATCTGCTATTCAAATGTTTCAGTTTAGCACCATGCTGTTTTTACCACTGTTCTGTTTGCCCTCTATTAGAATCAAAATCAAAAGCTGAATTACTTTATCGATCCCCAGGGGAAAATATATCTTATATCCTGTCCTGTCCCCACAGGTGTATTAACACCTGTTTCATATGCATCCATAATACACACACACATGCATGCACGTGCACAAAATACTTCCACGTGTGTGCATGGGTGTGTGTCACTGTGACCTTGTGGCTGCAGCATCTGAGTCAATGAACACTGTGCAGACCAGGATTGAAGCAGTTGAAACCATGACCGTGCACTGCTGTTGCTATAGTGACAAAGAGGAGAAGAAAAGGCAGACAGATTGATATTCCAGTCACACGTGCTGACAAAGCAGCTGCTCTACACAAGGATACTGTCTGTCTGCGTGTGTGTGTTTGTCTGTGTATGTGTACACATGGTATAGCTATATTTGTGGGCACTTTTTTTGGAAAAATTCTAGTGGTAGTGAAGACACTGGAGTGGAAAGTTTGTGAAAAGAATTTTATAAACTAACAGACGGGTGGCATAATGGTTTGTTTAGTCAGTACTGACAGACTGCAGTACTTTTAGTCACTACAGCGTGTGATGAAGGTTCACAGACTTAAACTGGAGACAGCTGAACACATCGTACTGTCCTGCAAAAAAAGCACCCTGCTAAAATATACATTTGTGGTAATGACATGTTTTCTTTGTTCCTTCAGCCTGTCTTTCCGTGTTCTTTTACTATTGAGAAAATATTTACAGTTAATACAATATCAGTTGACACCATCTGACAAGGTTCAGATCTCTGGGTGTTTGACAAGACTAGTTCTGCCCACTTCCCCTGACTTATATGTTATGACTGTTGCAGCCTAACTGAGCCTTCAGTCTGGCAAATATCTTGTAGCATGTCATCACCTTTAGGGGCTAATCTTTTTTTATAGTGGAGTGTTTTGTTGTCGGGGGAGTGTGTATCATGTCTATGTAAAGTTTTTTTTAGTGTGTGTGTGTTGGGGCACATGTACCTTTTCTCTGAGGCTCTCAGGTCAGAGATGCAATATATTATGGTCTGTGTGGATGGCGATCACTTCATTAAATATGATAACAACACATTTATTTCTGTCAGAAAATCAATTAATTAATATCGCACCACACTTGTCATACCTACCTGCCCATGTTATTAAAAAAATAGACTTAAGTGTTGTGCATCCAATAAAAATAGGAAAGAAATTACAAAAAGCAGACACGGCTTCTTAGAGAAGTTTCCACATTAGATCCTATATCTCCCTGTCGTCCTGTCGTCAGGCCTGCTCCTCTGTGATGCTGCTGCTGTTTTGTGTCCTTTGCAGCATCCATGAACCTCTTTGATCTCTTCTTTATTCCCTCTGTCTGGCAGCTTCCTCTTCAACACTTTTGCCCAATAATATGTCCACTATTTATTTCTTCTGTCAGGACAATGTCTAATCCATGCACCTCTTTAACATTAGTGCCCCCTAGTGGTCACATATATATATTACTCAGAACCCTGTGTCGGCTAAACTGTTTGGGTGCATTTCTAAGTCTAATTAAAATAAATATTCTTTCATTTTCTCTTGTCCAGGAGGCAGAGGAGACAATGGTAGCCCCATCATTGTTTTCCCAGAATTCCCAGCTTTTGGAGAGATTACAGATGGAGAGTTTCACAACGTCCTGACATATCTGACCAGTGTTCCCAGGTATGTAAACCAAATTATTTTTCTTTATATTCCAAAGTCATGTGATGAATTAAGACAATATGCACTTTTTAAACTATGATATCAAAATTTGGGTCAGGGAGCCAAAGTGGACACGTTTTATGTTGTTGCCAATTTCAATACTTAGAAACTAGAAACTATGTATTAGTTGTCACTCTGGGCCAAAAACAAATGAATGAATGGGCTTTTAAAAGAAGTTTTTAGGCAAGATTAAAAAACAGCTCCTGAAGAAAGGTTTTATTTATTTATAATGCCATTAGATATTTTTATTCCTGTAACCCCTTTGTCTTGTCTTGAACTTCTTGTTCATTTCACTTTTATATTAATGGTATTTCCAGTTTCAATAACCTAATGATTTTATTATATCTCTAATCCTCAATTATTTTAATGGTTAATGTTTTCTTAAACATTTATGTTTAATTTTTTATTTCACTGAATTGAATTTTTTCTCTCTCTATCTAATTTATGCCTCCATCACTGTAGCACAGAACTGGGAATCTGACCTATGTTTTAATTATGTAAAAAGCCACAGCTTTGGTGAAGAAGAATTTTCAGAATGATGCCGTCAATTAATATTGATTTAAACATATTCATTTCAAACCCAGTGACAGCTGTTCGAGGACATAATAAACAGATGTAGGACATTGGCCCCCAGTTGTGGACCGTTCTTGGTTAAAGGTTCTGGGTCCCTCAGGTATCTGCAGCCATCTGTTTGTGTTTTCAGGACCTGACCCTCCCTGAAATGAGCAGTAACCTCCACAGGCTGTGAAGGAGGAGGAGAACTTATACACTTGTAAACCATATTTACTTGGATTTAGAACCAAGCATACAGTCTCCCTCAGTGATTTCAGAACACATCTTGTTAATTTAAATGGTATGAAAGTCAATGTGGTGTCTATTATGCACCAGTTTTACAAACTATACTTCCTTTGTAGAAAATCCAAGATGGTAAATAAAGGAGAAATGCTACTGCAAGCCTTATTAAATAATATAAATGAATAGTAAAAAAAGAACAGGATATTGTTGATTTTTAGAAGATGGTTTTCTAGCTCTCTCCCCTCCCCCATCATCTCTACCCATGTGTATACAGACAGTCTGCAGGGGACTGATAAAAAAAAAGTGGATTAGGTTTTGGTCGTCTGATTAATGCAGAATTCAAATGCCTCTTCTCCTGTTTCAGCACATTCCATGTCTTTATGGAATGGCGAAGTATCCTCTGCCACCTACTGGCAGTCTTCCATAAATATACATTTCCCTCAAATATTTTTGCCTTTGTTGGTTTTGCACTCTGCCCATGAACCACCCATCCTCTGCCCTTGTTCCTGTTTCAGCCCGGAGCCGTCATGTGTTCTGCCCTGTTAACCTCCACAGAGGGAGGGAATAGAGAGAGAGAGAAGAGTTGGCACTGATGTGTTTTGCAGAGTCTGCAGTGTCTCATGCAGCTAATTCTACTCTATCTGCATCCACTCTCTGTGTGGGGTGCCTTCACAGCCTTTGACCTTCAGCAATTTATGGAGCATTCTTTCACACATGTCAGGCCACAACCTTCTGGCAGGATTTACATGTTTGATTTCGAATTTTTAAAAATTAAGTTAATATTTTGAAAATAAAAGCAATACATTTGCTACAGTGTTAAAATGATGAGGCACTAACACGTGTGTTTTAATAGCCACTATAAAAAGAACCACTTCATGTTCCTCTATTAGGTTTTATCTGTCCCTGTGTAACTGTATGGTCATCAACCTCCCTCTCATCACATTAGATAGAAATGTCTTTAAGGCATAAAAAGCTCTTACTCCCGCCCTCCCTGTTTCACCTTCTCATTCACCTCCCCCTCCGCCCCTGCACATTAGATTTAATGCATTCTGTTTTATTTAAAAGCTGCCTTGTCTGTGGAAAAAATAATGAAAGAAGAGCTGAGGAGAGATGGAAAGGGAAGGAAAGGCGCACAAATGTCTGTGTGTTTAGTACAGAGAAAGACAAGGATAAACAATGCACTCTCCATTCTCTTACATTGGTGCTCTCGCTGTGTGGCTGGTTCCACCCTCATCGGTAAAGGTTCTCTGATTGGCTGACAGTGCCGCTTGTCAAATCTGCTATCGTTGCCTCATTGGCTCGTATCCCAGCAGCTCTTTCTTCCATAGCTGGATGGGTTAGAGATGAGGAATCAGAGGCTGGATTCGGCGATTGTCTTTTCTGCCTCCTTGTTCCGCGGCTGCAGCACACTGGGATTTTAGACGCTAGACGTTTTCGTCTTTATTTTTTAATCCAGATTCATTTTTCGTGTGATGTTCATCTAGTGAATTGAATCACAGTAGGGGCAAAGGGATGAATATGACCTAACCACTGGGATCTTTCTGGAGTGAATGTACAGACGGAGCGGCGGTTTGTAGGTGCATCATGTTTACAGGTAGGCACATGGACAATTGATGGATTAAAGAGTTGTCGTTGATGATCTGAAAGAAACCGTTTCTTATGCAAGGCAAGAGAGTCAGTAGAAGGCTGCAGGCTGACGGTGACGTGGTTTCTGTTTAGGTTTAAAAGCGGTTTAAATGATGGGACTGGTTGCCTTTTGTTGTTTGTCTGTTTTCCACCAAATGTGTCATTTTTAGGTCATTGTGAATGAGAGGTATTTGCTGGGTTTTATTTAAAAATGTGTATTAGGTTGAATAAGATGAGCTGTGGTCCACCCCTGGAGTCATGTCTTAGGCTGCTATTGTGCACTGTAAACATAAATGATTTATTATTGGTTTTATAACCAGGCTTTTTCTAAATGCTCTTGTGGTTTGGAAAGTTAAATGTTACAAAATTACGTTTGGTATTTGATAGATAGAATCTAATACATGTTCAAACATTATAGGGATACAAAGACATTATTTTTTGCTACAAATAAATGAAATCTTGCTGCTGGCTATTATTGTGATGAAAATGTTTTGGACTAAAAGTATAAATGAAAAATAAGTAATGGCGTTAGTGGTGATAGTGTTGTTATTTTATTTGAAAAATGGGAACGCAGTTCTAGGCTGAAACAAATTCTTAAGCAAGAAGAAAAACTAAATTAAAATCAATATATCTCAGAGAAAAACAGTTACTGATGATGCAAAGCATTGTTGGTAAATAAAGAGCTCTGTCTTGATCACTGATTACAATTTTATCATTGATGACATTACCATGTGGTTTACAGTCTGAGAACTTTGGCCCCGTGTGCCAAAAGTGTCTGTGTGTATTTGATGTTGTAGTGTGTACTATTTGCTCATGTGGTGGTAATCAAAATCACTATGTGAATATTAAAAAGACTGGCTGATCCTCGAAAAACAATTAAATTACATTATACCCTTTAAAAGTCAACAACAGCAGAACAACAGTGGAACAGTGATCTAATTCCTGCCTCTCTGTGTTTGTTCCAGTTTGTCATCAACAGGCGTTGGTTTCATCCTGGTCATTGATCGTCGGCAGGACAGATGGGCAGCTGTTAAGGGGACCCTGCTTCGTATTGCAGTAAGTTCATCTGCACATGTGCTTATGCAAAAAAACAAAACAAAATTCAATCAAAAGAACCTGAAAATGGTTAAGGTTTTGCCCCTGCAACTCCAATCACCATGAGGAGAAGACATTTGTTGGGTCACCTGGAGGTTCTCCAGCTCTATTAAACAGCCCCCCCACCAGCCTGTGCTTAGCCCAACCTTTAACTCTCCCCCTAAAACTCATTACTGTGTGCCATGTGGGTTTTTTTTTTTTGGTCACGGCAGTAGAAACTAAACACATGCTTCTATTTATGTCTGACTCCTGTTTCCTATCAATCTTATGTTCAATTTAAAAAAAAAAAAACATTTCATACTAAAAGATTTACCAATTTAATTTGTTCACAGTCAACAGTGTGCTGGATTTTTTTTTAATTTACATCTAAATAAATGTTAATTAAAGTCTAATCTTTATAGATTATATGGAGTATCAATAAAAGGTAATTCAGTTGATGGTCCAGTTGTCATTTACATTAAGCATAAAATCTTAATGAAAAGTGCAGTCCTGCCTAATCTATTTTTACTAAAATTATTTATAATTTCCAATTGATATAATTTGTTGAATTCTTTCTTTATATTGTACCCTCTCTGCTCCTGATCATGTTGTTTTAATGTTATGGTATTAAGAGATTTCATGTAACCTTGCTGCTTCCTACAGTACACACCCATGCAGTCTATGAAAACAAACGCTTATTTCATGGTTTGTTTCGCACTTACTCCAGATTTCTGCTGCAGTAACTGTGCAATTTTGGAGTTGACTTGTCACTGCCCTGAGTCTCCAGAGGGGCCCACTGACTCATTTCAAATTGAATCAAGCTTTATTAATCCCACGTGTGCGACGTTTACAGACTGACAGTGGTAATGGGGGGCGTTCAGTCAACCCCGTAATAATGTCCTATTTGTGGTGGGAAAGCCACACTGCTAAATACATGTTAATGGAAAATAAATCCCCCAGCTGATTTGTGTCTGTGTGTAGAAGATGGATTAGAAGTTGATGCATGCTTACTTGGGGATATTAAGTCTGTCTATGTGTGTGGACTATGGACTGTCCTGTAGACACAGAAGTCTTTGTCTCTGTGTGTCTTTATATATCAATTACACCTGTTATTATACGTGTCATACATGATTTGCAGTTGTGCTTGTTCAGGAAAAACATGTCTGACAATAATGTGTTTTTATAGTTTAGAGTTCTAACTCTGCAGTGTTCATCTCCAAAGTTATCATACACCGCTCTGTGTGTGTGTACATATGTTTGTTGTTCAATATTTTCCAGGACATGCTCCGACGCAGTCCTGTGAGGACATTCTGTCCAGTCCTTGTATTTTCTATATTTGAGGTTAAGACTGGGGTGAAAAGTCAAATGTAGGTTATAATTATTGGATTACAGAAAGTTCTCACAGTGGTAGAAAAATGCAAATCGTATCACCAGAGCAATAGTTAACAGAGTATGGTGTATAATTTGTAATGGTCATATTCATGTGTTTGGTCTATTTCTACTGTAATCATTTGGTATCTTAGCAAAGAAATAATATTCTAGCTAACTCCACTACATTTCAGCTATGACACAGGGTTTAGTATTTTCTAAACAAACCATTTGCTATCTTTTGACAAGCACGTTTTGGCTTTTTAATTTACACTGTTTAGCCTTTTTGGTTTAATCTAAATGACATTAGCTGTTATCTATAATCACCTCAAGTCATCTTTAGTTGTATTGTTGTCTGTAGTGTTAGCCTTTGCTTACCTTGAAGCACTTCTAAAGAGGCTGTAGGAGACAGTATTGGAAAATGTTGTTTTTATCTGGTTGATTAATGTCTCTTTGCACTGACTTATTGTCAACAGACAGAATTTGTTTGTTCATTCAAATGAGAGTTTATTCTGAGCTCCACGTCCCCTGATATAATCAAGAGTGTCTAATTACCATTTATGTTTTTGCTAAGACAAGCATCCTTCAACCTTCGGCCAATCAGCCAAACCATCCGTTCTAGTCATTAGCTGATTAAAGTAGCTTAGCCAACATTGTAGCAACACTAAAAGAGGACCAGTACCTGCTGTCGCATCAGCCTGATTCTACAGCAGCTCCTATGGATCTCTCAGTGGGAATCTGTCAGAAAGTGTGTGTGTGTGTGCTTTTATTAAATGTACAAAATTTAAAGAGACACGTGTTTTATGAATCTGTGTTTCTAGTCTTTGCTCTGCGGTAATGTGCAGAGGTTGAAAAATTAAAATCCCTGCTCGTGTGTCATTTTGGTTAAACAACAGCCTGAATTCCTTTGTTTGAACGTGTCCTTCTGCTGGTGGTTGTTTTTATCTGCCTCATTCACACTGAGGCATCTCAGGGACCTGAAGATCAATGTTCCTACCACAGCACGGTGTCCTACACCCCTGCCCCCCTCCCCACACACAAACACACACACACACCCCTTCTACTTGTTTTCATAGCAATTTACTTGAATACATGAAGAGGGAGACACAAAGCAATGAAAAAATTGTAAAAGACGTTCTCTGTTCTCAGGGCTCCTTCCCGGGGAACCTCCAGCTGGTTCTGGTACTAAGACCTAACACACTTCTGCAGCGCGCACTGTCGGACATCCTCTTCAAGTTCAACAAAGATGAGTTCAAGATGAAGGTTCCGGTACGTGTGGTCCACCTCTGTAGCCCTTTTTGAAATATTAATGAAGATAAATAATACAGGATGAGGAATGAAATCATTCTGAAGACATACATTAACCTCGGAATACTATATTTGTATTATAATGAAGTCAATGTTGTCCTGACTTAGGTGATCATGCTGAGCTCTGTCACTGAGCTTCACTCCTACATCGACCGCTCTCAGCTCACACGTGAACTTGGAGGAACACAGGAGTACTGCCATGACAAATGGATCTCTCACCGAACCGTATGTAATACACAGGCACACAGTGAAGAAAATATGGACTGAAGAAGAATATATGACAATATAAAAAGAAATTAAATATAGGATAAATTAGATAAAGCTTTATTGTGTTAATAAAGGGAGATGGATTAAAAAATATAAATAAAGGAGAGGATGAAGTCATATATAAGTCATACGTTTGAATTTCTGTCTATACAATTAGTAGAGAATTTTAAGGGTTAAATTTACTCTTGTAAAATCTGATTTAAAATTCCCTTTTAGGTTTCTTTTTAAACTACATGTGTGTTTAATTAGAAATACATGAACACAAAATGATTAAATTCCCCTGTAAATGATCTAAACTGTCTTTGAAATATTTGTAACATAAAAGTCAGGACATAAAAGTGTATTTCTGTCCTGATTCAGTGACTTAGAAGTACTTATGTAAGAATTACTTTCTGTACCGTTTGCACTTAACCACAACAAATGTAACATTTCTTTATTTGTCACTGCTCAGTGTCGTGTCTGCTTCTTCTAACTTCAGGCGATTGAAGGCTTTGCACTGATGGTGAAGAAAACAGCACAGACACTACAGTTGTTTGGAACAGAGTTGGCTGAAACTGAACTCCCCAATGAGATCCAGGCCACCAGTATCCTGCTGAGCACACACACGGAAAAGAAAGACAAAATGAAGGTAAAAGCTTCACAATATCACCTTAAGTATGAAGTTGATTTGGTTTTGAATTTTTTTTTCCAGCCTCATCTTCTCTTTTGTGTCTGCAGGAGGATCTGCAGGTGGCCCTGGGTCAGGGCAGCCGGATCCTGGAGAGCATCAATGAACCTTTGGCTCGGAATCCAGATCACAATATGAACCAGGATGAGCTGGAGAATCTGGCTACTGTTCAGAGGTAAGAAAATAAATTGTCCATCCATACAGTTGCAAAAGTAAAACTCTGAAAGTTGCGTTATCGTAGTTCTGCATGTTACAGAATGAAGTTTGGAGATCAGGGGTTATTATGGATTATTTTTCATTAAAAATATATAGTCAATGAGCGAGACAGGTGACAACAAATTATATTAATGTTGTCACTAAAGTTATCTTTATTAGATTTACAATATTAATTGAAGTCTCAAGCTTGTGTTTTAACTGACACAAAAAATATTTAGTTATGAGGCAGCTGTTATTTTGTGGCTGAGCATATGTTTGATCTTTGAGTGAGCATTTTTTTAACCCACCTCATTAAGAACATTATTAAGGCAGAGTTATAGATATTTTTTCTCACAACAGTCCTGTGATTTTAACTGTCAAATCAGTAGGTAAATTCACACAGTTGCACATTTGTGTCTTTTGTTTTCAAATGTGACTCACTGTCTTTTATTCTTCCTATGTTAACGCCCAGCTCTAGTTGATGTACATTGACATGACTGGGCCTTGTTGTATGATGACAAAGTAAAAAAACAATAACATGTCGACCAATTCAATTATTCTTTGATTATTCATTTGAAATACTTTATCATTGCTTCATGTGATCTGTCCTAATGACATGTTTTAGTATGTCACTGTCACAATGTTATTTTTGATAGTGTATGTTTAATCTTTTTTTTTCTCTTGGTGCTTGAGACAACTTAAAGGAGTCTTTGTCACACTCCTAGTTATCTGAGCATTACAACAAATTACAGTACCAAATGCTCTGTCATCAGTAATGCATAGATTTCCATCAAATCTCTCAAAATGTCATGACCGCAGTTTTTCCTCTATTATCTGCTCATTCTAAACTAAACCTTACCTATGTCTCTGCTCAGACTTTTATCTCAGCTGGATGAGACTGAAAGGGCCTTCGATGAATTTTGGGTGAGACACAAGACCAAGTTAGAGCAGTGTCTCCAACTGCGTCACTTTGAGCACAACTACAGAGAGGTGAGTAGGAGGCGGTCGGCTGCAGCGCAGATCCTCCGTGGGCTGGATTCAACATGTAAACGTGATCCTCTCTCTCTGTGCCGGCTTTCTGCTGCAGGTGAGGACTCTGCTGGATCAGGTGTCTGATAAACTAGCAGCCTACTCTGAGGTTGGAGTCAGCCATGTTCACGATGAACATAACTTCTGTGAACTCAGCTCATACGAGGAAAAAATTTGTGTAAGTAGAACCTGGGTTCTCACAGACCTCCATCTTTAACTACAGCACACCTAGTGGCAAAGAATAGTATACCCCTTTTGTAGAACTCGGTAATGTCCGTGTTTAAGGAAGTTTGTCTGCTTTCTATCTCAGTTTAATGTGGGTTTAATCCACTTGACCATGTTTCTGTCGCTGCTTCTTTTAGAGAAATAAACCAAATTTTCCCTAGTACTGTTTGATATATGATATAAAAATATAACTTCATATCATGCTCTTTCCTTTGATGCAATATACAATATAAATGTAGTATTGAATGTAAAGTTCACTGTCCGCTGATCAACAGGAGGTGCTGAGCACAGCCTTGGCCTTGTCTCGGGAGGGTGATGAACTTATACAGAACTCGCATTACGCCGAAGACTCCATTCAGCCCAAATGCAGCGAGCTCCGAACGTTTAGCGAAAATGTCAGCTTCTGTCTGAAGACTAAAAAAGGTCATCTCCAAAAAGCCCTGGAGCTACATCAGTACCTGCAGAGGGTGAGCTACAAACAACACACTTAATTAAATAAATGTTTTCTCCTTTTTTGCATTAGTTTATGATTAAAGTAATCACCCTCTCTTCCTCAGGTGTCCAAGTGGGTGGATGATGGTATTTACCTGTTGGCGTCTCAGCCGGTCGACAAATGTCAGTCTCATGAGGGAGCAGAGTTAGCGCTGCAGGAGCTGGAGCGTTATCTGGATAATGCAAGCCAGAACCAGTTGACAGACCTGAGCACCATCTGGAGGGAATATGATGAAGTGCTCAACCAGCAATTCAGGGTAAGAGCACATAAAACAATAGTACCTTAAATACATGAGAACGGCTGCTAAGCTGCTCAAGGCTAATAGATTGAGCACAGATATGTGGTCATTTACATAATTTTCCGAGCGTTACATTTTAATGTGGATAATTGATAACTCTCCATGCCTCAGGACCAAGTGGAGAAGGTTTTCCAGAAGCAGACGTCCATGCAAGAGATGTTCGATAAGAGGCGAATCAGCCTGAAGAAGTTGGCGGCCAAACAAACCAGGCCGGTGCAACCTGTGGCCCCCAGACCTGAGGCCTTCATCAAATCTCCAATCAGCTCACCTGGTCAGTCCTTACCAAACACAGTGAATAAGAAATACATGTAACTATGTAGTTCTAATGGTAAAGCTCAGTAGTAAAAGTAGCAGTGAACAACTAACAACTTTCTCTACTTGAACAAGGCTTCTTTTTTATTTGGACTTCAGTCCGTCTGTAGCCTAGGAATCTAAACTTTTTAATAAATCACATTGTCAGAAGAAAAATCAAGTCGTTCAAAATTTAAAGTCTTTGTAAGTTAATTATTTTAGCAAATTAAAACCATCACTTTGTGTCTTCATCCACAGCTCACAAAGCCCAGCAGGAGAAGAACAGCTCAGACACAGACTCTGGAACCAACTGTGAGAAAGTGAGTGTTGGCGTCCTTATTTTAAAGTGTACTCGCTCCGTGTCTCCACTTTGTATCATGTGTTACGTATTGATACCCAGGGAAATGGCCAACTGCCTAACGGTGACAGCGGCAGCCGACACGTCTCCCTGTCAGAGGAGGAGGAAAACCTGGCTGTGTTGAGGAGGTGAGGAGCTGGAATCGGTCACTTTCACTTTATCCGTGCTCAGATGACAGCAGCAGATGGACCGTGTGCACACACACACACACACACACACACACATGCATGTAGCCCTCCCCATCCACTGTCACTCTCTCGCTACTGCACATGCTCTGTCTGATCTCTCTCTCTCTCTCTGCAGGCATGTCATGAATGAGCTGCTGGACACTGAGAGAGCTTACGTGGAGGAGCTACTCTGTGTCTTACAGGTGTGGTTTCAGCCCAGAGGAGGTGTCATTAACACCTACACTATGTCAGTAGTTTCATGTGTACTTGTGTGTGTGTGTGTGTGTTACAGGGATATGCGGCAGAGATGGATAATCCAGCCATGTCTCACATAATCCCTGCTGCGTTGCAGAACAAAAAGGAGGTTCTGTTTGGCAACATGCCCGAAATTTACCACTTTCACAAGAGGTGAATGAGCACCATCTGTTGTTGGACGACAAAGCATTTTAATCAGGGGTTTTGTATAAAAAATGGATGTAGTTAGTCTCAGTTAAATAAAGCTGCAGTGTTGATCTCCAGGAAACAAATGGAAGTAACCTGGACTAAAAAAAACCCTGGGAACTTGTATAGACTTGACCTTATGAAACGTGGTCCTGAGTCTATGGTTGTAAGTCCAGTGACTTGACTTGGTTTTAAACTTTAGGCACTCGGCTAAATATATAAATAATCACTTATTGAAAAAAATATTGGTGTATATTCAGACCATGTATAATATTGGTGTAATTTTGAAGAAAAGTAACCCTATTTCCATGTTTCTATTAACATTTAGTTTAATAAGAAACCACTAGAACCCATTTAGCCAATTACTGAGGTTTTTACTAGAAGCTGATTTCACTGGTATATGAATTTTAATTGTCTTTTTGGTCTGATTTCATTGTTTCCAGGACGTTTCTCCGTGAACTAGAGCAGTACACCGACTGCCCAGAATTAGTCGGGAGGTGTTTCCTGGAGAGGGTGAGTTGAGTGTCTTTTTCATATTTGACTTCAGTTGTGCGGATGCAGGTTATTGAACAAAAAAATGTTTTCCCATTCTTCTCTTCGTCAGATGACAGATCTGCAGATTTATGAGAAATACTGTCACAATAAGCCTCGCTCTGAAAGCCTCTGGAGACAGTGCTCAGACTGTGCCTTCTTCCAGGTAATCGCTTTGTTTCTACTGAGGTTTTCACTTATTTTTGTGTTTTTTGTGTGTTTTTGAATTTAATTTTTTTCTTGTTGACTTGTCAGGAGTGCCAAAAAAAGCTGGAACATAAACTGGGTTTGGATTCTTATCTGCTGAAACCTGTTCAGAGGATCACCAAATATCAGCTACTGCTGAAGGTACGATGCCTTCTGTTATGACTGGGCATTTAAATTGTGTTTGTCTTTTTTATGACAATTGTGTCATGTTTTGTTCACTGCAGGAAATGCTAAAGTACAGTAAAAGCTGTGAGGGAGCAGATGACTTGCAGGAGGCGCTGACCTCCATCCTGGGGATTCTAAAGGCTGTCAATGACTCCATGCATCTCATAGCAATTACAGGATATGAGGTAAAATTATCGATAGAATCCTCACCAAGAAGACAAATGGCGGATGTATTATATATATTACTGTACTATGAGGAACAAGGAGTGGCAGAAAAATAAATAGGGGTGGTGCATGGACAAGAATAACAATAAATCAGATATGACCCAGTTCCTGTTTGCATTGGTGATAATGTTTATACAACTATATGTCAATCATTTCCAGAATATATTTGGATTTTGTTTTTATCAGAATTTTTACTTTCAACATCAGTAGGCTTAGGATCAAATAACTTACACTGAATAGTTAAATAACTGTACTACATTGTATTAATGTACATTTCCCTTTTCTTAGGGTAATCTGAGTGAGCTGGGAAAACTGTTGATGCAGGGCTCATTCAGTGTCTGGACAGAGCATAAGAAAGGTCATGCCAAGGTCAAGGACTTGGCCCGATTTAAGCCCATGCAGAGACACCTCTTCCTCCATGAGAAAGCCCTGCTGTTTTGCAAGAGAAGGGAGGAGAATGGAGAGGGCTATGAGAAAGCTCCGTCCTACAGCTTCAAGCAGTCTTTGAGTGTGAGGACCACTGAGCGTGGTGTAACTCTTTATGTTCTAGAGGCTGTGATTTCTTTAAGTTTGTTTTTTCTTCATTTAACAGATGAGTGCTGTGGGCATCACTGAAAATGCAAAGGGAGACAACAAGAAGTTTGAAATCTGGAGCAACTCAAGGGAAGAGGTTTATATTGTTCAGGTATGTTCACACATAAATCAACATGTCATTTTTTCTTTTTTCCTTTGGCATGTCCTAGTTCACTATGTCCTTGGACTGTCTATGTGTTTTCCCTATTCTCTGTCTGCTTGTTCTCCAACATGAGAAGTAGCAGATCTCTAAACTTTTCAACCTTAGCTGTTCCTCTTTGGTTTGAGGGAGGGATCTATGGAGTTGACAAAATACATATTCTACATCGTACTGTTTTCTCAAGGCTCCATCAACTGATGTGAAAACTACATGGGTGAATGAAATCAGGAAGGTTCTGACAACTCAACTGGAAGCATGCAGAGGTAGGGAAAATGTTTATGTCAACTTTGCACTTATTTTACAAAAAGCAAGCGAGATAAGTGGTGTTGTAATAATAATAGAGAGTGACCTTTTGTCTTTATTCCACCATCTTCGGGTGTATAGCCAGCAAACAGAGGGCGCCAGACCAAATTTCCCAGTTTACTCCTGGGTCTAGTGGAACAGTGAGTCACAGGTGAGTGTGGTCTGGTCTTCAAGCTCTGTTGATCCACCACAAGAAATCATTTCAAAGTATTTATAGTCCAGGGAGTTATTGGTGTTTAATTTATATTTATGTTCACCCTCAGTTCTTTCAGGACTGGTCAGAGGAGCTTCAAAAAAGCTGAAGAAAAGAAAGTGGAGTCCTGTAGTCTAGATGTCAACTCTACTTCATCAACAAAACCCCAAAACAAAGGTGAAATTAGATTCACATAAACAAAGACAGGAGTCTTAACTTCATCTAATGTGTCTTTAGTGTTTGTACTGTATGCACTACTACGACTAGCAGTACTACTTTTCCCTTCGCTCCTTTCTCTGTTTTCTTTGTCTACACACTTTGAGGAAACATTTTATGTCCTCCTAACTAACTATAATCCCTTCCTTACCTCCTATTTTCCCACCCTTCCTCTTGTCCTTCTGTCTGCCTTGTATTCTTGTTTTTGTTCCTCTGGGTCAGATAATGAGGCTGTGACCAGCCCCACCTCAGACAGAGCCGCTGTGGCTAAAAAGCGCTTTACTTTACAGGGTTTCAGTAACCTCAAAGCTCAGAAAGGTAACTGCAGGTCGTTTTCCTACCATGTCATAAAACATCACCTCATCGTCGTTGTGTTTCTGTTCAGTGTAGGACAAGGAGTTTCCACCAGTGTATTATTATTAATATTAATTATTTGTTTGTTTTTTGTGTATAGAAATCAAAAGAAAATAATTCTCCCCAAGATATGTATTAAAAAAAGAGATTTTTTTATTTGCTATTTTCTTAGTATACAAACCAAATAGTATACAAGTATACAATTAGAGGTACTTTTGATGATTGGGAGAGATGGTTGGTGTTATCTACTGTTAAAACTAAAACCTTAAAGTTCCCTCAAGGAATGTTTTTAAAAGTACTTCAATGTTTGTATTTTATAGTTAGAGTTTTTATGGGAACTCATTTTTGGGTACGTTTTTTGGTATATACCTGCACCCAAATTTAGACAATGCTGACCTTTTAATTCTTTTTCTCAGTTATCTTTTACTCGATCATAATAACTTTTCTGCCGCTCAATATTTTTATTCTTTAATTCTTCATTGTATTCGTATATTTTAAAATTTAGCCCACATTTAGGTACTTTTAGGGCTATTCTATGGCATACTTTCAGTGTTATAAATTGTTGTCGTGGTATCTTAAATATATAATAATAATATAAAGAGGACGCTAAATTACAGATTAAAAGATTTGTAAAAAGCTTTCACCGCTAGATGTCACTCATTTCTTGATTTCAGATCAGTGAAAACATTCAAATAGGATTAAACAACCTTGTTGTGCTATAGTAACACTTTAGTTTGTCTTTGTCTCTCAGTTTTCTACTCATTTCTCTTCCACATTTTTTTTTTTTGCTTCTCATGGAAATGTTGTCTGTGATTTTATATTTGTTAAGGGCAATATCTAGAATCACGTTCTTCTTTCTTCCTTCCACAACTAGGATCTCCAACCAGCCCTGACCACAAGTCCAAACGACAGAGTGACCCGACACCATTTGGCTTCAGAGGTCAGTAAAGAACAGTCCAGGATCAGCTGAATCATTTTCTTTCCCTCACTGTCTTTAGATGTTCATGCTGAACTCAGCCAGATTGAATCAGCTGATGTAGGTGCTGCTGAGTGACCAGCTGTTACTTCCTGTCCCTCAGATGCAGGTCCGTCTCCCCTCCACCTGAGCAGGACCAGGTGGTTCAGCACCTCTAGTCTATTAAGCACAAAATGGAGAGGTACACTGGAATAGGCTGCTAGTTTACCAAGTTTTTTTCCTCTGCCAACCTGGGGAGGTTTTCTTGGGATTAATACAAATTGTAGTCAAATGAATAACCTTTTGCCTGTTTCTTTTTGTCCCATGTCTAATCAGACTCTGCACTCTAGATGTTCTCCACCCTGCATGTCTTTCTCGCAGAGATCATGGTTTAGCTGTAGCACTGGTTGTGTCTTACCAGTATTCCTGGGATCGGCTGTTCTAACCTCAAACTTCTATTTCAGCTTTTCACACTCATAGTCCTCTCCCTCCTTGTCAAACCCGTATCTGAAAGTTGCAATCAAACACAACAATGTTGTCTTTTTTAGGCTGGAACAAAACCTCTTTGTCCATGGATGCTTCGGAGGAACATGATGGTTATTCCAGTGCTGAAGATCCTCTTAACTCTGACCAAGAGGAAGATGGTGGCAAGAAGCTGGTGAGCAAGTCTGTTTGTCTTGTATGAATCAAACAACAGAGACAGAATCAAGGGTTTCTGTGCTTAATCTACCATTATTTATGTGTGTCTAAAAAGTTATAAATATTTCTAAAATATGTGCACAATTTGGAATATAAAATGTGTAATATATATGAAATATAGTACATAATATGCATTGAAGTTTATTTATTTTTGTAAATGTATTTTAATGAGGTCTATTGACAAAAATATGTCATATATATGTATATATATATATACATGTGTATAAATATATGTATGTTTAAGGGTTTCTTTTGGATAATTAAAAGTGTTATTGTTTTATTCCTGCATTTTTTATGTCTACTTTACAGACTGCTGGAAAGTACACAGTGATGTCTGACTTTGACAAAGGGGGCGCTGTGGAGCTCTCAGTGAAGGGCGGAGACATAGTACAGCTAGTCAAAGAGGGTGATGATGGACAGTGGTGAGTAAATACAGCGTTTGTATCGACTTGTCACAAATAAAATGCCTAATGCAATGCATAATTGCATTGTTCTAAATGGTTCTGTGCAGGTTTGTGCGTAACCTAAGTTCCTGTAAGGAAGGCTGGATCGCTGCTAACAATCTCATCACGCTCATCGGAAAGTCCAAGTCTTGTCAGTCCCTCACCAGCTCAGGTATTTAAAACAAAGATTACCAATAAAGTTTTTCAAAACAGTTTAAAATCTCTGTAATCATAAATCTCCATTCTTCGTGTGTCTGTAACAGAAGGCAGTGGCTCTGGAAACCTCAGCACATCGTCCAGCTGCAGTGAGACCTACACCAGCTTCTCCGACATCAAACCCTGAACTTGAAAGCACTTCTTTATCACGGTAACATCTTCTTTCAGGTTTAGTTTTGACAAAAGACAGAATGAAGATGAAATTATGTCCATTAAACATCTTTCAGAAAATTTCAGTAGTTTTATGGTTGCAAATGACAAACTGCGAATGTAGACCAGAAGTCTTCTATTTTACACCTAACTCCACATAAATAGAAACCTAAATAGCAATATTCTAAATGCGTGAAATAAATTAAATCTAGACTTAACATTCATATCGATTTGCTCTCTCAACCGAGTGAGAATTTACTTTAAAGTTTTCTTTTTTGCAACCTGAGGGCTGTGTTAAATTAATGCATGTCCTCTTCATTAGTTATTAAATAGATGCATAATATACAGGTCAGCAGGACTGACCTGAGTGAAGCATCCATTTGTGGTCACATTAAGAAAATGACATAATGGAAAATATTTGAGGAAGCAGTGTTCAAATTCCCAATGCCACCATAAGTACAAGGGTAAAAGTATGGATAGAGGCAAACCTGCACAACTTGAACAAATGTTTCATTAAGACATGTCCCCAGTATCTTACTACTTCACATGACAAAATACTTGAAAGAAAACACCCTCAAGGTTCATTTATTTTCCTGTTGTCACTTGTCTATGTCCTTATGCTGTCGTTGATAATGCTCAGCTTGTGCCTCTGAGGTTTTCCGTGTGTAAGTGGCTTTTCTTTCCAGATCTGCTATGGCGTCTTCTTCTTCTGACTCCCTATGGGTGTGAATAAACAGAGATCTTTGTATAGCGCTAACTTATTCCCAGTGCTGGGACCACCCTCTGAATGTAGATATTGTTTGATAATATATGTTTGTCATGAAATGTTTGTTATGAGAGATGCTATATTGTACATTAAGTGATAATGGTGATGTGTCTAATTTTTTTACATATAAAAAGTTTCAGACCTAATTGAAGTTGTCTTATTTGTAAATTTATTGTCTTTCTTAATAAAGTTCAAACTTAAATTAATTGAATTTATTACATTAACACATTATTCAGACACATTTGGTGATATTAAGTTAAGTTCTATGTAGCTGCAGTCAAAGTAACTTAAAGATGTATGTTCACTCCATGTCCACACCAAGACCTCCTAGCTGACCTACTGCAACGTTAGCAGTTTGAGTGATTTCATTGGATGGTCTAAGAACGCCCAGCCTCGAATCGAGCAAGCTAGTGTGTAGCAACTTGCATGCGTTTTCGCAGTTTACGAGCGGACATTCTCAGCCCAAAGTAATTTAAAATATATGCCACAAATATGACAGGTCAGATTTGATTTTCAGCATTAGAAGTGATGGCGATAGAAAACGACTTGTTTACGGATAACCTGTACAACACAGCCATTGAAGTGAACTCAAGGAAGGAAAGGAGGACGGATTTTGTCTACGACTAATCGGACGTTTTGGTGAGTCAAATTTATTTTGTGTTTTTAATATAGTTGTAATTTTATTATGTAATGATTGATACTCTTTGGTGTACATTATGTCACAGCTTTTTATGGATTTTTTTGGGGGGAGTTATATGATAAAAATTTTTTGGCAACATTATTTTGTTGTTTATGATGTAATGTTATTTGTGGTTTGTGATTGTACTCATTGATTAAACTGCACGGTTAAAATATGACTTAGGCTAGCTTTTATTTAGAACATATCGTTCTTTGTACAGCTTCAGATGTTGAACTAGGTTGGACGTAGTCGTCTCCATCTGTTAACTACATGTTTGCATACAGCAGTTTGTTTGAGTTTTGTTTGATCGAAGCTGTAAAATTGTAATATACAGCATGTGCACAGATATCTCTACGGTAAAACGGGGGATCGTCCCTTTGTAACCTGGCAACCGCTCACTTAAGAGAAACTAGGCGGGTCTATTCCTGCAAAGAAGCAGAAGGATCATTGAGGGGATTTAACAAAGTAGTAATTGCCGATTCTACGGCGTTATTTGAGGTAACGAACTCAGAATGAGCCGTAAAGTGTTGTGTGTACTTTGTCGGCGGTCCGAGGAGACGATGGTCACCGGGGCTCTGTCAACCAAAGATGAGATCACTGCTCATCAAAACTGTCTGGTAAATGGCATGGTAGTTTCTCTTCCGCGTTAAACAACCAGTTAAACGTCAGTTAGCGAGGAGCATGAAGCTGACGGTCTAGTTTTTCTGAGGTCATTGTGATTGTGGATGAAAACAGGAAGTGTAATAGAAAAGTGATTGTGGGTCTTTATGAAATAGCAATATGTATCTTTTTATTGACATTCAGCAACATATACATCCATTTCAACCATTTGGCATACATCATCAAACTGTATGCGATCTAAAGTAAACACAGTCAAACTCTGGCCTATAGTGAACGTGACAGTTCCGAAAAACATTGTAGGTAGGGTGTATTAAAATATGTTATCAGGCTTTTCCAGCCAAACTGTGCGCTCCTGCGCTGTGCCCGGCTTTTACTCCTCCTACTAATATATGGAGAGGCTGGATTACTCCAATTGCGCTCAGCTGCGTGCGGGGCTGCACCTGCGTCGCCACTCCCGTGCTCTCCCTCCTGCAGCTGAACACTAACCGCCGCGGTGTCGTGTATTTAATTTATTTACGTAATATGCTTTTCCATTATACAACTCTACTGTGCATATAGTTGTGTGGGAAGGGTAATACATTCTAGCGAGGTTGGTAACAGCGTGAGGGGGGGGGCTCGTAAAGGGTAAATATATACGTAAATTATATAAAAACTATCTCGCCCCTACTTCGTGGATTTTACCATTTCGCGGTGGGTCTTGGAACGCAACCACTGTGAGGAGAGGGATCACTGTATTATCCAAATTGTTCACCTTCTCCCATTATATCTATTCATCCCTCCATTTCCTATTTTGTTTGAATACATTGAGTTGAATGTGTTTCCATGTTTATCAGCCACCTGAGGTAAAACTCATATCTTTATGTTTACTTGAGTCTGATATGTTTTATCTTGTCATTGACATTACATTACATTTAGCAGAGGCTTTTATCCAAAGCGACTTACAATTTGAGTCAATCAATCGACAATCCAGCTACAGTAAACATACAAAATACATAAATCATAATAAATAGTCATAGATAATCATAATAAATTAAAAAGTACAGTTATGGTCATAGTAGGTCAGAGTAAGAAGACGTTATGTCTATGACGTAATGTCTAAGCTGCAAGTAACGATAAAAATCATGCGCTTCTCATGAAAATTTCAAAACTAAATAATGTATTTTCCTTTTTGATCTTTCATAAAGCTGTTATTCCTGTATTTGTCAAATCCCTGAATCTCAAATCTAATTGATTTGGGCTAGAGTCAGCTTAATCCATGGGTTTTTTATTTTTTTTTATATAGTCCTGTAGGTCAGCTATCAATGCCTGTATGGGAATGGTAGTCAATACTGTTATAATGACTAGACATTCTTTATCCACATTTTTGTTTTAACACTTTTTTGGTCATTTTGAGGATATTTTATGTTGAGTTTGCATTAACTCTGATCTGGAACATTTTTTATTTGTATTGTGTTATGAGATAAAAAACTGAATAAAATGTTAACTGTTACAATGACACAGTATTTAGAACTCTCTTTTCATGTTTTGGTCTGTTGTCTGATCTTGTGTTAACAGTTATATTCCTCTGGACTTTGCTGTGAGAACTCACCTCAGTTCGATGATCTGTTTGGTTTCTCTGTTGAGGATGTGACAGAGGAGGTCAAGCGAGGAAGTAGACTGGTAAATAATGGGATGATTTTGTTTCTCATGAATTTTTAATCATGAATGGGTGTAATTCATTAGACATGTTTGTTTTCACTTCAGAAGTGTTCCAGGTGTAAGAAAAAAGGCGCCACTGCTGGCTGCGAAGTGAGATGCTGTGGTAAGTCCTTCCACTACCCCTGTGCTATTGAGGAGGGGGCCACGACGGTCGATGACTCAGAGAAAGGCAGTTATGTGTGAGTGCACCCTCCACATTGTACTGTACGAATAAAAAAAAAACAATCACAATTTCAAACTTCTTCCATGTGTTTTCATGCATCAGGTTGTACTGTCAAAACCACTACCAAAAACTACCAGGTAACTTTGTGCTTTTGGGAGTTTTGCACTTTTTTCTGTCTTTCTTGTGTTGACCCCATATCTTTATTTGTCAGGAAGAGAAAACGGCAGCTTTGCTAATGTAGCCTCCTCCAAGGCCTCGTCATCTGGACCGGCTCCGGACAAAGCTAGACCATCAAAAGTGTGACGAAAGAAGCTTTAGCCACAGATATTAAACCTACTTTTAATNTTGATTATTTCTGTGCATTTATTCCTCTATGCCTTTCTGTCTGTCCTCTAAGAATGGAGAAGAAGAAGGTGACGTTAGCCATGATGGATTGTCAACTACCATCTCTATGTGAGTAAATGCACATTTCAACAATATGCTTTGTTGCATTGTAGTATCACACTGTTAGTGACTTACGTGTCCCCTTCAGTTTGTGTTGTGACAAATACGCTCCCTTATCACGTGAGAGGAACAGCCATGGTGGGTTCTTCCCTAACAATTCTCATTTCTGTTCCTAAGAGACTTTTTAAATATTTCTGATCTCGTCAAATGTCTCTAAAGCGACAGGAGCGTCTGTTTTCAGTGGTGACTCCAGCTCCTCCAGCAGTACGACACACACAGCCACCAAGGTTTGTTTAATATAAATTCAATCACACAGAGTAGTTTTGTAGCTATCCATTTCTCTGATTGACTTGGTGGTGTGCATTTGTTCTGTTTTTTGTTGAAACCAGAGACGTTTCAGCCTCATTGACAGGTGAGCAACGACACTCATACTAACACAGGCATAGACACACGTTTTGACCCGCGATGGCACAGCCTTTTCTGTGCCATCTATTAGGGAAATGTGGGCTTTGCAGAGGAAAGTCAGAAATATAATGAAAATAGAAATTAGTAACATAATTTGGACAAGTTTGGTGGGCCGGATTAAAAAGCCAAACGGGCCGCATCTAGCCCCCGGGCCATAGTTTGCCCATGCGTTTACTTACACATGCCACACACAGTCTGCTCTTTTAATGTTTTGTTAAAGGCCAGTGTCAGTAAACACCTGAAAAGTGAAACCTGTTACATTCAAAGTCAACCTTCCATCAGTTAAAATTTTATAAAGATCTTCACAAATTCATCGACTGGATTAATACATTAATTTTGACATCTCTACTTTTAACAATGGGAATAATATATAATAATATTTTTTCTTTCTTTTAATTAAATAAAAATAAAATACATTTTTTTAAATCTACCTTTAAATCATAAAAAATTTGATAACATATAAACAAAGCAACAAACCCAATGATTAGATAATAACTTAATTTGCCATTAAACACCTTCCTTAATGTTTAAACGCGTTCGTGTTTACTTTTATATTAAAGTTAAACAGAACCACTAGTATAAAACGTATTTTTCTTTTTTTCCCACAGACTAGATGGGAGGGAGGAGGAGGAGGAGGAGCTGGAGATCCCTCCAAACCGCCAATCAAAAAAAACAATTATTTCTGACGATTCTTCAGGTTTTGGTCAATCCATGTACATTGACACAGACATTGTGATATTTTTTTTTATCTCCATTTTATCCAAAAACTGATTTTCACTCATTTCTTATGTCCTGCAGATCAAGAAGAAAACAACTCCAATCTGGCAATCTTTGGTCCTTTGGAGTCGGACATTGACGAAAATACAGACTCTGTTCCTGAGCAACAGGTGAGTCTCATATAAATTTCATTCCTGTCCTGTCACCATTTAGTCTTGTTTTAGGACACACTGATGTTAATTTGAGGTTAAAAAAGAATTGAGATGTATTTTACTTCAAAACATGCCTTACTA